TTGTTTTAGAGACAGGGTCTTGCTCTGTCACCCAGGCCGGAGTGCAGTCATGCAGCACAGCTCACTGTGCCCTGGACCTCCGGGGCTCTAGTGATCCTCCCACCTCAGCCTCCAGAACCACTGGGACTGCAGGCACACACCACTGCACCTGGCTCATTTTTAAATTTTTTTTAAGAGAGGAGGTCTCACTTTGTTGCCCGGGCTGGTCTTTAACCCCTGGGCTCGAGCGATTCTCCGGCTTCAGCCTCCCAAAGTGTTGAGATTCTAGGTGTGAGCACTGTGCCTGGCCAATGCTAATGTTAATTGGAGAGAAGAAGATGGGGTGCCCCTTTTGCAAGAGCCCAGGCTCTGTGAAATAGGCAAGTGGAGGCCGGGTGTGGTGGCTCATGCCTGTAATCACGGCAGCACTTTGGGAGGCTGAGGTGGGCAGATCACCTGAGGTCGGGAGTTCAAGACCAGCCTGCCAACATGGTGAGACATACAAAAAGTTAGCTGGGCATGGTGGTGCATGCCTGTAGTCCCAGCTAGTTGAGAGGCTGAGGGAGGAGAACCACTTGAACCCAGGAGGCAGAGGTTACAGTCAGCCACAGTCGCACCAATACACTCCAGCCTGGGCAACAAGAGCGAAACTCCATCTCAAAAAAAAAAAAAAAAAAAAAGGCCAGGTGCAGTGTTCACGCCTGTAATCCCAGCACTTTGGGAGGCTGAGGCAGGTGGGTCAGGAGGTCAAGAGATCGAAACCATCCTGGCCAACATGGTGAAACCCCGTCTTTACTAAAAATATGACAAATTAGCTGGGCATTATGGCCCACGCCGAAGTCCCAGCTACTCAGGAGGCTGAGGCAGAAGAATCGCTTGAACCTGGGAGCCGGAGGCTGCAGTGATTCAAGATTGCGCCACTGCACTCCAGCCTGGGCGACAGAGCGAGACTCTGTCCCCGCCACCCCCCAAAAAAAATAGGCAAGAGGAGGGGAGTGAGAAAGAGGCGATTCCCTCCCCAGGTGTCGGGACTAACCCCAGCCTGCCTCACTGGGTTTCCCGAAGCCTGCCCCGCTCGGGACTCTGAGCCAGGCACTTGGCCGCGGTGTCCACTGACTCACGAGCTTCGTGTCTCCCCACAGCCCTCTCGGTGCTCATCTTCATCGCCCTGGCTCTGAATGGCTTTGGTGGGATGTGTATGACCTTCACCTCATTAACAGTGAGTACGGACTTCTTAAAGCTCTCTAGTTCAGTAATCTGCTTCTGCGTTTGAGGCTGCTGTGATTATTTCCACGTCCTTGCCTTCCGTTTGCCTGCGTGTGCCTGGGTGTCCCCAACAGTACAGGGGCTTGGGTGAAGTGTTCTGGCCACAGAGCACGGCAGGGCCTCCTAAACTGAGGTCCTACAGGCAGCAGGGCATGGCTCTCACCATCCCCTGCCTGCCTTTTTTTTTTAAGACAGAGTCTCCCTGTGTTGCCCAGGCTGGAGTGCAGTTGCGCGATCTCACCCCACTGCAACCTCTGCCTCCCAGGTTCAAAAGATTCTCCTGCCTCAGCCTCCCGAGTAGCTGGGATCACAGGCGCCCACCACTACGCCCGGCTAATTTTTGTATTTTTAGTAGAGACGGGGTTTCACCGTGTTGGCCAGGCTGGTCTCCAACTCCTGACCTCAGGTGATCCGCCCCCCTCGGCCTCCCAAAGTGCTGGGATTACAGGCGTGGGCCAGTGTGCCCAGCCGACATTCCCTGCCTCTGATCAGGGCTTTGATGCTGAGGAAGCAGCTCACTAGCCATGTGCCCAAGGAAGGCAGAAGCAGGAAAACAAGACGCTGCCGCCCACGTTCTTTTCCTGTTTGCCGTGGTAGCTGTCACCAGGGGCTCCGGGAGCTCGGGCTCGCAGAGCAGCCTCCACACAGACCTCCCATGGAACTGCCCAGCCCAGCCTTTGCCTTTGTCCAGAGCCCAATGGGAAACTCAGGGGACACCTGGGCTTCTGCCCTTCCTGGTTTCCTGAGTGCCAGGGCACAGCCAGCTGTCTGGGAGGGGAGATGTCTCCTCGGGTGCTGAGCACCCCCTCGTTGAGACCATCAGGTTGTCACAAAATGTGCGTCTTCTTGAAGTGGGGAAGGCAGAAGAAAGGTATGGGTTGGAAGAAAGAAAGTCAACAAAGGGGGCCAGTGCGGTGGCTCACGCCTGAAATCCCAGCAGTTTGGAAGGTCGAGGCAGGTGGATCACTTGAGGTCAGGAGTTCGACGGCCTGGCGAACATGGCAAAACTGTCTCTACTAAAAAATACAGAAAACCCCCGTGTGTGGTGGTAGGCACCTGTAGTCCCAGCTCTTTGGCGGCTGAGGTGGGAGAACCCAGGAGGCGGAGGTTGCCACGAGCCGAGATGGCACCTCTGCACTCCAGCCTGGGCGGCAGAGCGAGACTCTGTCTCAAAAATAAGAAAGTCAAAAAAGGAACAAAAAGTCTGTCCCAGAAGGAAGAAGGGAACTCTCTGTGGGTTTGCCTAGCTGGGCAATGGTGCCATTCAGAGCTGGCCATTGGAAAGCAGTGAGGATAGCAGCCTCTTCAGAGAGAGTTCTTTTCAGCAAGGAAACCTCGCCTGTGTCCATTTCCCAGTGAAAAGGGTTTTAAGACACAATACCTACCATTACTATTTGTAGGACACTGTGGTTTCTGATTTCCCTTGTGGCTGAGTCAGGAGTGGTGCCGTTGAAGGGTTCTTGTTTAGCTTTGAGGGAGCTCTGAGGGCCTCTGGGCCTCTCCTGGTTTTTTTTTTTTTCTTTTTTTTTGAGACAGTCTTGCTCAGTTGCCCAGGCTGGGGTGCAATGGCGTAATCTCGGCTCGTTGCAAGATGAGCCGAGTTCAAGCCACCCAGGTTCAAGCGATTCTCCTGCCTCAGCCTCCTGAGTAGCTGGGATTACAGGTGTGCACAACCACGCCCGGCTAACTTTTTGTATTTTTAGTGGAGACGAGGTTTCACCATGTGGGTCAGGCTGGTCTTGAACTCCTGACCTCAGGTGATCCACCCACCTTGGCCTCCAAAAGTGCTGGGATTACAGGTGTGAGCCACCATACCTGGCCCAAAAGTGGTTTTTATTCTAAAAATTTGTGTTGGGTGCAGTTGCTCACACCTGCAATGCCGGCACTGTGGGAGGCTAAGGTGGGAGGATCTCTCGAGGCCAGGGTTGAGACCAGTCTGAACAACGAAGCAAGACTCTGTCTCTCCACATATATTTTTTTAATTAGCCAGAGCATGGTGGTAGATGCTCGTAGTCACAGCTACTCAGGAGGCTGAGGTGGGAGGAAGGCTTGAACCCAGAAGTTTGAGGCCACAGTATTCCATAATTGCACCACTACATTCCAGCCTGGTGACAGAGCGAGACCTTGTCCCAAAAATATGAGTAAAAATTCAACATTTCAGAAACATGAATTGTAGACTAAACGTCTATAAGCCTGCCAGGCACAGTGGCTCATGTCTGTAATCTTAGCACTTTGAGAGGCTGAGGAGGGCCGATCACCTGAGGTCGGGAGCTCGAGACCAGCCTGGCCAACATGGTGAAACCCCGTCTCTATCAAAAATACAAAAAAATTAGCGTGGTGTGGTGGCACATAATCCCAGCTACTTGGGAGATTGAGGCAGGAGAATTGCTTGAATCTAGGAGGCGGAGGTTGCGGTGAGCCAGGACTGCGCCATTGCACTCCAGCCTGGGCAACAAGAGCAAAACTCCGTCTTAAAAAAGAAAATGCTATAAGCCTGTCTTCATCAGTTTGGAATATATTTCTTCATTTTTTAAAAGATCTGCATATACCAATGTTATTCTTTTCTTAAAAAAAAGAACCGTGATAACTTGCCTTTTCCCTTAATGTATCTTTTACATCTTTTGCTGTCATTACTTCGAGGTCTGTCTTATTATTAAGCAGTTCTGTGTTATTCTGTAATGTAGATGTATCATCATTTATTCAACCGGTTTCCTACTAATGGACATTTGGCTTGGTTTCCAGTTTTTCCGATTTATGAATGCTGCTGAAGTGAACATCCCTGTGCCTGTATTTCTGTAAAATAAGTTCCTGGAAGTGGAAGTGCTGGGCCACAGGATTAGCATATTTTAAAATTTAATATGTACTGTTAAATCGTCTTGTAAAAGGTTACCTGGCTTGGCACTGTGGCTCATGCCTGTAATCCCAGCACTTTGGGAGGCTGAGGCGGGCGGATCACCTGAGGTCAGGAGTTGGAGATCAGCCTGGCCAACATGGTGAAACCCCATCTCTACTAAAAATACAAAAACTAGCTGGGTGTGGTGGAGGGTGCCTGTAATCCCAGCTACTCGGGAGGCTGAGGCAGGAGAATCGCTTGAACCTGGGAGGCGGAGGCTGCAGTGAGCCAAGATCATGCCACTGCACTCCAGCCTGGGTGACAGGAGTAAGACACTGTCTCAAAAAACAAAGCCTGCCTGCTGCCACAAGCCCACCGGCATGCATGCGAGTGCCTTTTTCTCCACGTCCTTTCCAGTCTGTTCCATTCATCTTCTAAACATTTGCCACTCTGATCTGGTGAAAAATGATACACCATGAGTTTAAAAATGTCTTTCATCATTAGTAAGACAGATCGTCTTTTCTCTGCTTTTTTGGTAATTTGCATTTCTTCTGTGAATTGCTTCTTTGTGGCATTTGTCTGTTTTTCTACAGCGCTCTTGATTTTATTATTATTATTATTTAGTGACTTGTAAGAGCTCTTTCAAATTCAAAAAAAATTGGTGTTCTGAGTGAGCAAGAGATCTTTCCCTGGGCTCTTCAGGTCTCTACATGGTCCTCTACATGGTCCATGAGTCAGTTTCAGGAGGGCCGTGCACACCCTTGGAATTCCATGCCAACACACTGCGTGTAGGTGCCGCTCAGCTGTGTCTTTCGGGAGGGCAAGGTTCATTACGTTCACTGGCCACCAGCAGGTCTGTGTAAAGGCTAAAAACCACCACTGTGGCCGGGCACGGTGGCTCACGCCTGTCATCCCAGCACTTTGGGAGGCTGAGGCGGGTGGATCACCCGAGGCCAGGAGTTTCTTGGTTTTTTTTTGAGATGAAGTTTCGCTCTTGTCCAGACTGGAGTGCAATGGCGAAATCTCAGCTCACCGCAACCTCTGCCTCCCTGGTTCAAGCGATTGTCCTGCCTCAGCCTCCCGAGTAGCTGGGACTACAGGTGTGCCTGCCACCACGACCAGCTAATTTTGTATTTTTAGCAGAGATGGGGTTTCTCCATGTTGGTCAGGCTGGTCTCGAACTCCCGGCCTCAGGTGATCCGCCTGCCTCAGTCCCAAAGTGCTGGGATTATAGGCGTGAGCCACCGTGATTGGTGAGGCCAGGAGTTTGAGACCACTCTGGCCAACATGGCGAAACCCCATCTGTAGTAAACATACAAACATTAGCCTGGGATGGTGGTGGGTGTCTGTAATCCCAGCTACTCGGGTGGCTGAGGTGGGAGAATTGCTTGAACCCAGGAGGCAGAGGTTCCAGTGAGCTGAGGTCATGCCCCCACACTCCAGCCTGGATGGCAGAGGGAGACTCGGTCTCAGAAAAACCAGAAACCACTGCAGCAGGAGCGTTTCTGTTCACGCTGCTCTCCCACTGGAGGCAGAAAGCTGCCCAGGTTAGATAGTGACCAGGCAACTCTCTTGCCTGGTCACCATTTAAAGCGTTTGGCTCCCAGGGGTCTGTCCAAGGGAAGCTGGTGGTTTGTTCTCCATGGTTTTCATTCTTTGATCTGGAGCAGGGTCAGCAAACACCGTCGCCAGGCCAAACCCAGACCACTGCCTGCTTTTGTAAACAAAGCTTCATGGGGGCAGAGCTGTGCCCGTTTGCTCCCGTCTGTGGCTGCTCTTGTGCTACAGTGGGAGTTACGCTCTGGTGACAGAGACCACATGTATGGCTTGTGAAGCCCAAAGGTCTGTTATCTCAGCTGGGTGCAGTGGGTCATGCCTGTCACCCCAGCACTTTGGGAGGCCAAGGCAGGTGGATGGCCTCAGCCCGGGAGTTCGAGACCAGCCTGGGCAACATGGCGAAAGCTTTCTCTATTTAAAAAAAAAAAAGTTGGCTGGGTGTGGTGGGTTACGCCTGTCACCCCAGCACTTTGGGAGGCCGAGGCAGGCAGATCACCTGAGGTCAGGAGTTTGAGACCAGCCTGGCCAACATGGTGAAACCCCCTCTCTACTAAAAATATAAA